TTGTAGCTATTTTTTTTTTTTACTTTATATTCTAGTTAATATTTTTAAGATTTTTTTATTCAAAAATGCATCCAACCAAAGGCATACATGATATTTATATTTTTTCTTTTGATTTTTGAAAGTATTTAATAAAAAGAATAATAGCATTTATTTAATAAAAATATTGATATGATATACTCAAACCACAAAAAAACATGCACTATTAGAATGAAAAAATGATTCAACTAATGTTGGTGTTAGACATTTATTTAATGCTTTATATGTAAAAGGTTAATAAAATGACCATTAAAAATTTGTAACAATAAAATTTATGAAAAACATAAAATTTTGAATCTTCAAAAACACCTTTGGATCTTTAAGAGAATGATTGAGAGCTTTTGAATTTGAGATTTCGATATATGATGTGTTGGATTTTTTTTAGGTGTCTTGATGTGATTTGTGACTTTGAGGGGATTTGATATAATCTCTTTCCTAATCTTAAGATTTGTCTTGGTGGGTAAGAAATATTTACTTTATTAATTAAATATCTTATTTATCTTGGATTTATGTCCCAAAATAAATAAAGACATTAATTAATAAAATATTAAATAAAATTTTGATGTCTACAACATGCAACCGTTACAAACTCAAAATATAGTGGGTGGATGAACAAAAAAAAATGTTGTAATAATTTTTGGATGGAGGTCATCAATTTTTTTATTACATGAACTCCAATTTTTATTAATTGCTGCTGGAAAAAAATTAAACGAAGTTTCCTAACAATTATATCTATACAGATATAGATATTTTATTTATATATGTGTACGTGCATAGAACTGAACAGAGTTTAAATGAAAAGACATTTAATGGAACAATGACGCGAACATTTGGATAAATATTTAGTTGGTCAAATGATTATACTTTTTTATCGAGTCGAGCTCGAGTCTCATAAATTAAATTCGAGTCAACTAAAAAAAGCAAGCAGCCCTATCATGAAACTCTTTGAGCCCGCCTACGCGATTTGGTGAATATTATGTCGCCACGTATTACCTCTCTCTGGGCCTGATTCGCGGTTACCCACTCCTAATTCAACCCACAAAAAATAAAATGGATAAAGCCAAACCAAAAACTAGAAGAAAATTTACCTTCAAATGGGCTCGCAAATCCTGAAAATCTCACCATTTGCAGCTTCTAGAACGTCTGTCGTCGTCCTCCCCACGCTCTCGAGATTCCTGAAAGACCCAATCAACCTCATCCCTAAATCCCGAAGTTGCGCATCCATCGCATCCTCCGGTCACGGCAACAAATTGTCGTGTGGTTCTCGCGGCTCGTCTCTTGATCGGAGTAGAAGGAGCTTCCGAGGTGGAGTTGTGGCCATGGCCGCGCCCGGGTCGGTGCAGAAGTCGGAGGAGGAATGGCGGGCCGTGCTGTCGCCGGAGCAGTTTCACATCCTGAGGC